CTTGTAGCACTTTAATAGCTACAAAAAAAAAAAAACAAAAAAAACCCCATCAAATATAACTATATTTTTTTTTATTCTTTCTCTTATGCTTTCACTGAGAACAGCCTAATTGGTTTATGAAATTCCAAAAACATCTGCATGGACTAGGGCTAGATGTAATGTAGGAAAAGCTGTTCTCAGAAGCAGGTGCCTCTTTGCCAGCAGCAGAAGGGATGCTGCTCTCCTTGCATGCAATAGCCAACTGGTTAAAGCACTGACCAGGAGACAAAACAGTTCAGTCACTAACTTGTCAAGAGATATTAAGAATTTTATTCCCAAAAGAGATGTCCTAAACCCCAGCAGTTGCTTATTTCATGGAGTGAGCCAGGATACAGTGCCCCCCTACATCTGAAGCTTGGCCACTATGAAGCTATGCAGTTACAGAAAATAAATTGTGGAGAGAGCACACCTGCACACACACATTAATTTAGGAGTTGGGAAATAAATGATCAGGGAGACCTAACATATCGTATTGCTTTTTTATATGTTAGGCAAGGGCTCTCACCACATACATATATGAAACTGGAAACTAATATTAATTTTACAATTTTAGTTTTGGGTTATTTTTGAGTTTTGCTTTTTGTTTTGTTTTGTTTTTTGGTTGGTTGGTTTTTGTTTGCTTGTTTTGTTGATTTTGTATTTATTTTTTTTTATCATGGTCTCCATATTGCTTTTTACAAGTAGGTCAAATGTTGTCATGTATGTCCACTGCATTTTTAAAGAGACTTGAATTCCTTGGGCTGATCATTTTTATTACAAGACAGGCAGTGTAACAGATACTTTGGGTCCCTGGAATTCTCTGGTTACAAATTGCAGTGCTAATGGCATTAAGGCAATGGCAGTCTTACAGATATGACCTTTAGTTTTCTTATGAACCACAATTGCAAGATGATGGACTAGGAAAAGCTAAGTCTGCCATATGTTTCAAGAAGTAATTTTACAGGTCCAAAGGATTTGCACTGTCCACAAAACTGAAAAATGTCCAACGTATTCACTTCAAAGTCAAGTGAGGACACCACTTTGACTTAAATACAACATCAGACTTTTGAAATATGCTTGAGTATTTTGAATTTGAATAACATTCCCCTTGCTGAGCAGTTTTAGCTTCAGCCATAGACACTAATATATATCTTCATGAAACTTGAAATTGTGTCACTACACAGAGAGAATTAAAGATTCATCTAGTCAAAAATAATAAAACAGGGAAGAGAAATCTTTTTTGTACTACTGAAACAGATACATTTGTACTGTTATAATTAACATACATATATGTATCCCTATATGCCCATAAATATATTAGGCATGTTGAATACATAACATGCATATATTGTTTTATAAATATTCATGTATGAACATATGTAATATATGAAAGCATTTAATATTTACCCATATATATCTGTATTAAATATATATATTTGAAAGATACAGCAAAAACTCTAATGTCAGCTGGAAAAAAAAGGCTGGTTAGGCTAGAAAAAGTGCTTGTTTTATGAAAAAAGTAAAATTGCAATTCACAGCATTTTCTGTAATGCTGTACAAATTACCAGATACCAGAGACTGCATTTCTGGACCTGAATAGTACTAAAAGTTGCAACTAAGGGCAAATATAAAGACACTTGTTTACAATGCAAAGGCTTAGTCAGTACTATAAGCAATATGGCAATCTGCATAGCAGAAGATATAATGCTTTAGGTGTTTTTACTTTACCTATCAATTCCTACACACATGAACAAACTCAACAACACACCTATTAATTTCAACCAGTATAAAAAGGGAGGAAATACTGGAAATATAGTTATAAATGAATGGTAATTAATGCATATTGACATATTTATACAATGATACGTTTACCTTATTTACTGGGTGGTAGCCATATATGTTTTATAAAGATATCATGAAAGCATTTAAAAGTGTACTAGAGATGGTCTGGCAATCCTATTACCAGAGCTGCTGGTGAGATTTCCACTGTCCTGGGGAGGGGAGGAAAAAAGCAGAGTAAAGGGGTAAGGAGATAAGTGTCATGGAGAAGGACACTCTCTCCACCTGATGGCCCACTTCCACCCCAGAGCTTGGGATGAACACCAGTGTGCCTGAATTTCATTATTCTGCTGTCAGGCACAGGCTAGGAAATGTCCTGGGAAAAGGACTTCTACCCTGTTTCTCTGTAATCTTCTGCTTTGACTATTCTGGAATATCAAATGGCCAAGATGGGTGTAATGAATTCAATTACAAGTCTGGACCACTGAGGTAGAACATGGCATATGTCCAGTCCTTGCTATTCAGAAAAGAGAAGACTTGAAAATAAATTCAGATAAACATACACAAAGACTCTCTATATGCTCACACTTATATGTAATCTACTTATACTTAAAGAATCATTGTCAAAAAGATAGGAAACAGGAAAAGCAGCTGCTCTGGGAGGTGTACGGCACCTGCTGACCTGGACAGAGGGGACCTGAGCAGAGCCCTTGTCTACTTGTTCCTGCCTCTTTCTGTGGACAGAGATCTCTAGGAGAGGATATGAAAGCAAGTTTGATAATTGGATAACATTTGGATAGCAAAAGCCTGTCTTGATGGGATATGAAAAACAATTGAGCATCTCATAGCTGCCACCCCAAAGTTATTGGAGCTCTGCAATGAACATGAAGGACTTAATATTGTTCAAATACTTTGAAAAAAGATTTTCCAAGGAGAATGCACAAAATTACTGAGAACCTGATTTCACAATTATTTAATTGTGTTTGAAAATATGAACCATATAAATTTCCTGTGTCCAAGTATTAGTAAGAATTTCTTTACACCAAAGCAGTGTTGGGATGAGCAGCACAGAAAATTCTATGAAGCAGCAAGATTAAACAACATGCAGTAAATATATCTCAGGAGGATCCAGGGTGAACACCTGATTATAAGTGTAAAGTACCAGAAGGTAAGGTACAAAGAATAAAATATATATGTGAGCAAATCATTAATATGGTAATAAAAAATTTTTGGAAAAAGTGTGTTACTTTTGCCATATCTAAACTTTTGATAATGAGGTCTTAGAATCTTAATAATACCTCCTAAAAGTAGTTTTTATGGATGGCAATGTAAAACATGGACATAAAGGACCACATTGACTCCAAATAATCTTAATTATGTATTATATATATTTTCTCATGTTTATAGGCTTGTCTAAAGAACTACAGCTCTTCTGGTGCCGTATAAATATTTAATAATGATAATGTAGAATACACTGATATTATATTACAAATGGTTGTTTTACATCCTTATTCCAAAATGGACTTGCTTTAGTTACATCCCAGCTCTGTTAGATTCATTGAGTGTGTTCATGGGAATAAGCAATCAGTACTCAGATTCATTAAGTTTATATTTTTATACCTTCCACACTAGACAAAAACATTACATTATGGGCAGAATTTAAATAATTGCTTAAAAGTTAAGAAAATGCTTCAGTGCTTTTCTGACTAACAACAAATTTGAATATTTGCAAAAATGGATTAATGCACTGAACTAATCAACAGTCTTCCAAATTTCTTCCAAAAAAATGAACTTCAGAAAATGCCATAATATGTATTTTTATCTTTCAAAAAAAAACAACTCATTTTTTTATATTGTGCATTTCAAAATTAAGCTGCATAGAGTGTCATGTAAATAGTCCATGATGTGTTGAATAATGACAGCCAAGTTACCTTCTCAAGTGAAAAGCTGGGTTAAAACTTGGAATATTTTGAGCTTTTTAGACTTATCTTTTGCCAATAAGCAAGCTATTTCAAAAAGATTTGCTTCTATTCACATGGTACTCTTTCTGAAGGCAATGATTATTTCTGAAACCAAACAGTCCTAATACAGAAATGAAAGGTATACTGTAAATTACTTTAACTAAATGCAGGAGTATTTATAATGGCAGCTAAAATATGGAAAGTTATAGGACACAACCCCCAAAAATGAATTAGGTGGCACCCATATCTCAGACTTTTAAATTAAGAACAAACACTGACCAAATATGGAGATAAAGCAGAAGCATGTATGAAAAGTTCTTGCATGGCTAATAATATAGCATACCCCCTGAAAAATTAATACAGTATACAAAGTAATATTGTGTGCAGGGGCCCCAAGAAGATTTTGAAACTAACCAAGAAGTTCTTCTCAAGTCCTATATGTCAGTCCTTCATACTGTACTTTTTACCTCTAAAATTTATTTTATTTAAGTAAGAACAAAATAGATCTATATTTTTTTTATGGACCCAAAGCAAGTGGTTCTGGCTGGTATGATTCTGAAGTTGCTCAATGGGTTTTTCACATTGACACAGTACAGTAATTTCACGTTCTTCTGCATATTTAAAAGTCTATTATGAATTCTAAAGAGTCTACTGCAAAATTATGACAGCTGAGAATGTTTGAATAAATCTATTTAGAAAATTGCTACTGGCTGTATATTTGGTGTGTTCCATTAGAGAACGTTCCACCATTGTCTTAGTGGTGACAGATGCTGTGCTCACAATGTTGGATATAAAATGGAAATTCACATTTCTTATGAAAATCTGAAATATCATCTGAGCTTGACCATTTCTGTTTTGTGATTGTAAGGTAAAAAGCATTACTAAAAAAACCCCCACAAAACCAAACCCAGGCATTTAGTGTGTGATATACCTTTTTTCCCCTTAGAGGCAGCACAGTGGCTGCCTGGCATGTTTGTTATATGGAGGTCTATTTACCACTACCTCCTTCCCCTGCTGAACTGGCATGATAGTCCCAAACTGAAGTGCTGTCTTGATGACCAGGAGGGAAAGGATATCTTTACATGGACAGATGACTGTGTTTATTGAGCATTTCCAACTTAAATGCAAGTTTAAGGTGCTAATAAACAAGGTTATTTGCACTAAATACTGCGGCGCTCAGCTGAAAATGGTTTGCAATATGTCACTATATATATGTGTGTATGTATATATATTATGTGTTACCTTGGATACAAGGCTTGCTCTGTAGGCAGCTAACTGCTTCAGATACTCCTTCTTGGCAGCTTCAGTTTTCTTCTTGTATACCTGAAAACAAAGAGTGGCACATTGGTAAATGAATCTGGTTTTGTTTTTATATATCACTGGTGTGTCTCATGCATTTTCATAATGTCTTTCTAAGTAAACAGACATTTTTCTTCATATTACTTAAAGAGTGAAATAATAAACATCAAAAATTTTAAAGAAAATATTGTTCCAACTGTGAAACACCATTTAACTAACCAACAGTACTGAAAAAACAATAACCCTCATAGCATCTCAGGCTAAATTGCTCAAAGTGACGTGTGGGGTGTTCTTTTAAATGGGACCTTTGGGGTGTGTCCCTTTCCCCTGGCTTCCACTTGTGAGACCAGTTAAAACCCTCTGGGGAAGATGAGAATTTGCAGACAGACATTTGAACTAAATGAAGGAGGAGATGACAGCACCACAGATTAGCCAAGAGAATTTCTCTCTTCCCTGGGTGACCTGTTGGGGGCAGTCAAAGAAACCCACGGAGCTGCTAAGGATAATAAATGTTAGTCATTATTCCAGTCTTGATCCCATATCGGTCTAATTAACTTCTCAGAAGCATGGATCTATTTCTGTACATTTCTCTCAACTCACCAAATTATTTTAAATGTGGCATGTGCACAATCTCATAATAGATTAAAGACCTTGGAGAATCACTTCAATTTTGCCCAGATTTCAAGATCAAAGATTATCTGCAGGGTTAGGCAGGACCTCATAACACTACAGTAACATGACGTTAGAAAAGCATGTGTAGATATTTAGGGTTGAAAGCTCTCAGGAGGAGAACCAGCTTCTGATCCATGGAGCCTAGCTAATGACTCGCTGTTAGCCATGTCAGTGACAGATTTAGGAACAACTCAGCATTTCTGTTTGCAAATTTTGTCATGAGTTTCTCAGTACTTCATGTTTTGGATTTTTTCCTGAAGAGGTAGATTTAGGAGTCATGCATGCATCTGGGCTTCATGTAACTAAGCAGGGCTGATTCCTCATCTTTCTTGTTGAAAGGAGAAGTTTAAAAAAACATCTAAAGGTTTAAAAGTGAGGGAGAAAAAAAAAAGGAAGGATTTTTTTTTATTGTTATATTTTATGACTTCAAAGTCACGTGACAGAGTTTAATCCGCATGTGGATGGGTATTTGGGGTTCATAATATTGCACAAAATGAAACTGCAACTTTGTGTCTCTGTTGTCCACTTGTCCTGCACAACCTGGGCACCTGTGGAAAACCTCCATAAGGAAAGATTGTCCACCTTCCCCCTCCCATTCTTCACTGCCTGGTTAACTGCACTATTGATTCAAAGCTAAAAGACAGTCAAAGCTATTAAGGAGGACAATTTTGGGGTGCTCTTCTGAATTCCACAGCTAAAAGCACACATGAACATCTCCTCCCCAGAAAGATAAACTTTATGCAACTTTAAAGTGTTCTCTTTTGATCTTCCAATGCTTCAGTAATACCAGCAGTCCTGTAATGGAGAGGACCTGGCAGCACAGAGTGTACACACAGAGGACAATACAGTTGCAGACTACAAAGGGCGAGTGGTAATGTCAGGCTGGAAGGATCCAGTACAACACGATTTTTATAAAGAATGTACTCATGAAACTATTTTTTGTTTCACTAACGCTTTGCTTTCAGACACAGAACAAACCTCAGATGCAGGCTGGCAAAACTCAGAGGCTGCCTAAAAGGATTAAGGATTTTTCTTCCCAGGGAAGCAAAAGATCATAATGGAAACAGAGAAGTCTTAGGCTTCTAAAATTGTAAATATAAAGATAGAGAGGGAAAAAGATTGGTTTTAGCTGTGCAACTGTATGTTTGCACCCTTGTAATTTTTCCAGATTAAGATAAATATGTAGTGTTTGTTGATCTCCTATTGTTCTGCAAATAATAATAAAAAAAAAAGGTAGCAATTTGCTTCTTAAGTTGTAATCGTTTGTGATAATTAGGGGAATTAGTATTTGTTTTGAAAACAAATAAGAAATTAGTCAGCAGTCAGTTCCTAGCTGCTAGAATGAATTCAGCTTGACTTACAGATACTCTTTTGTATATTGCAATGCCTTTGCATCACTCTTAAGATAGCCAACGTAAAAAACAGAGCTGAACAAAGAATTTTACGCAGAATAATGTTCTTCAAAAGATCATGTATCTACTGCTTTCACCTCGGGTTTTATTTTGCTTTACATAAATATAAAAAATAAACATTCCTGCTGTGCTCTTACAGTCACAGCATAATTGAAGGAGTCCTCTGGGACCTGACTTTTCCCACAAATAGTCATATTGCACAATGTTAACTCAATAATATGAAGCTAACAACAATTCTGCAAATTTCCATCTAAAGCATCACTACTTCATAGAAACATCATCAGATGTTTGTTATTTAATTTTGTCCTACCTACGCATCTATCATGTTCAGTGTACACACTGCCTTGACCTCTTCTCTTGAATCTGTTGGTGAACGAATAATAATCACTTGAACACCATGTCTTCCCTGGCACTATAAAATTTAACAATTTAACAGGAGGTCATTAAGTAAACAAGTCCTTACTGGGTGGGAAAGACCCCAGCCTGTTTTGATTTTTGCATTGCTAAGAATGGCTCCTGCAGACTGGCTGGTCTGGAAGGTGATCAGCTCACCCCACTTCATCCCTGGAACAACATCATTGTCTCCTCTGAGGTCAACAGGCTGAGTTGTCACTAAGCCCTTCTCAAGGTGCCCACTGCTTAGGTTAGCATACAAGTAGGCTGATGATCCTCATGCTGGTTTTGGAAATTGACTTGTCATGGCCTAGACTAAAAAATAAGGGTAAGTTCTGCCTGTCTGGGGAGTAAACACTTGGTAATATAAATAGCAATAAGGTCTGGTCTGGCTGTCAATATTCTTCTTTGAAAGCAAATGAATGTGGTCCTGGCAGTGATACCAATTCACTGGCTTTGTGCTGGACTGGACTTGTACTGGGGGCTTACGAAGGCAGGGCAAGTGGGGAATGCCTTCAGCATTTGCAGCAGTACCTCAAACAGGTATGAACAAGTCAGCTGCTCCTCTCAAACTCTTTTTAATTTTTTTTTCTGCATCTGTGAAAATTTTTTAGCCCTCAGGCTTACATAGTTTTGTGTTGTTGTAAGCATAAGACTTGCCTCCTTGCAGCACTTTTAGGGCAGAAAAAGGCTTGTGTCATCATTCAAGTGTGTCTAGAAAATAGCTGAAGGTCTTTTGAGCTTCATGCATATTACAGTGTCAAAATATCAAACACATCATGTCCAATAATACAATTAACTTTTTCCTGTATCATAAAGCAGGGTTCTGTTCTGCTGCTTATCTATATTGTATAGTGGGAATATTTAATTTTATTTATAGCATCTTAGAAATCTCCTATAAGGTCATTTTCTTGTCCTCTGTCAAGCAAGCAACAATTATTAAATAAGTAACTTGACGGGAACATATAGTTATGGAATTAAGTAATTTCCACTTTGCTTTAATTCAATTAACATGATAATTGAACGTCAACTGATTGTCACATAGGCAGGAAGGGCCCATTCTGATTCAGAAGCACATTTGTGTTCTTATGCAGTATTTTATTTCCCATATTGTCCCAGTTGTGGAAAAATGGATGTTGGCAGAAATAGACATAATTTCGTATATGCAGGGTAGGTCAGTTTAATTTATTCTTTTCCTCTTCAGCATGTTATAGAAACCCCAAAACACCAAGACTGCACACATATTCCACACATTCCAGTCTATAAATGGAACTTGCTTGCATTATTTTCCTACTGTGCTTCACACACGCAAATGCAGGCAGCATAATACACAGGTGCTTTATTGCACTTCCAAGGTAGCTTCAAGCTCCCTTACACTGTACAGCAAAGCATGTAAAAAGGAGCAAGCACAAAACCCTACTTTGTGCACACGAATATATAAGAGAGAGTTAGGCCAGCAGGGAAAACAAATGCCCTGGGCTCTCACAGGTTGGTACCAGCCCCCAGGCCATTGCACCAGCAACCTTTAGCTCAGGTTTGCTGGGCTGGCCATGCATGTGGGCCATCAGAGCTACTGCAGCCTACAGCAAGGACTGAACTCTTATTTACAGTGATACACATCCCTAAACTGAATGCAGCAAAATTCCTCTTGGAGACAGAGGGACGGCAAGTTATAGGACAATCACTCACAAATACTAGATTCACCAAATTAAAACCACAGTAGAACTGAAGCACTTTTGCTTTATGCTGCCAAATTCTGGTCATGATTTACTTTGCGTATTTTAACTGATGTTTAGTTCTTGTCTCTTTTGGATCATAAATTCCTTGAGGCAGGCCTTTATGTCTCCCATGCTTTTCTGTGTGTTCTATAATATGAAGTTCATTACTGATATATATATACACATAGTTGAAATATACCTGTAACGTTTTACGCCAGGTTTTTGTCCTGGCTAGCCATTTTTTCACAATGAACTTCCTCTCAACATGCTTGTGGAGGATTATCAACATATCACAACACACTAGGCAGTGGGATTACTATCTTGTCACTTGTGGCTTGCACCCTTATTGCCTGAAGAGAACAGATCTCCCTTCCCCCAGTCATCACAAGAGCCAAAACAGGCACTCAAATGTCTGCAACCACATCCTCAGTTCTGACTATCAGGTGCTAATGGAAAACTATTGCTCGTGACTACAGTCCCCTTTGATACTAGAGATGATACCAGACTTGGAGACAGTGAACTAAACTGACTCATAATCTTTGCAGAAAAAGAGACTTTTAGAATTTGTGCTTCGTGGAAGTCTGCAAAATCTCTTTGTCTCCTAGCTGACAAAGCCAATTAGAATGAACCATGCTGCTTCCCTGGCTTTGCCTAAATAGATGGTATGAGGATGACAAAGAAAGGGAAGTTTTCTGTTTGTCTTGTGGCTATCTCCTTAGAGCTAAGACTTGCAAGCAAGTTTTATTTGTCTTTTTAAAATGATGTAAAAGTGCCCAGATTTGTTTTGGTGGAAATGTTCCAGAAACCTCTCTAAACAGTATATGCAAAA